TAAAGCTTTCAGCTGGAAGCGGTCCCTTACAGCACATCAGACATTTCACACAGGAATGAAACCCCATGTATGTGGTGAATGTGGAAAAGCCTTTATCACAAAGAATGGACTCACTGTTCATCAGCGAACTCATACTGGGGAGAAACCCCATGTATGTGGTGAATGTGGAAAAACCTTTATCAGGAAGAATACTCTTACTGCTCATCAGCGCATTCATACTGGGGATAAACCCCATGTATGTGGTGAATGTGGAAAAGCCTTTACCTGGAAGCATGCTCTTACTGTTCATCAGCGAACTCATACTGGAGAGAAACCCTATGTATGTGGTGAATGTGGAAAAGCCTTTATCAGGAAGAATAAACTCACTGTTCATCAGCGAACTCATACTGGAAAGAACCCCCATGTAAATGGTGAATGTGGAAAATCCTTTACCTGGAATAATGAGTTCACGCTCCAGTGAACTCATACTGGAGAGAAATCCCATGTATGTGGGGAATGTTGAAAAGCCTTTATCAGGAAAAATGACCCACTTTTCTTCAGCGAACTCATTTGAGAGAAACCCCATGTATGTGGTGAATATGGCAAAGACTTCATTCAGACATCACATCTCGAAACTCATCTATGCACTCATACTGGGAAGAACCATTATGTATGTGGTGAGTGTGGTAAAGCTTTCAGCCAGAAACCATGCTTCAGAGCACATCAGACATTTCGCATAGGAAAGAAGCCCTTTTCATGAATTAACTGTAGAAACTCTTGTATCTTAAAGTCAAGTACCATTCAAAGACAATTCTTAATGAGAAAGCCTTTCAATGGGGTGAGTGTAACAAAGCTTTCAAAACAAAGGAAGAGGCTCTAGGGTTTGGCAGGGGCTGTGTGAGGGACCAGACAATTGTGACTTATGTGGCTATCCATGCTCTGAATTGCTGTCCCTCTACTGACATGGCCCACCAGTGTGCGGAGAGGGACGTCCAGACCTCCCCAGGGTGCATAGGCACCTCATTGCTCCTCCAACTTTCAGTGCCTGAAAGAGAGCTGGACCTGGTGTTTCTGGATCACAGTTGTACCAAGCAGTAGAGTGCCCACCGATATGCCAGTAGTTCCTGCCCCACCTGCATGCTCTTTGTTACCCCCCAGAGACAATACAAAAGTAGCATAATTTAAGAATGAATAAAATAGAAGATGTTTGGGAACAATTAGTCCAGACGATGAATGGACCACAGCGAACCTCAGCCTCCACAACCCTAAGACGAGAAAAACTGGATGGTGCCACGCTTCCACTGCTAATTACTCTGAAAGGGATCACAATAGAGGGACCAGAGTATAGAGTGGGAGCACAAAGTGGAACAAAACCCAAAATCATGAAACACACTAGGCTTACTGGTCTGATGGATACTTGCAATCCCAACTATGGCTCTTAGCAACTCTTCACTCTCAGAACTGTACTCTCTCCTGTGACTCCACTTTCAGCCAAAAAATATACAGGCTGGAGGGGAAGAATAATATCCAAGAGGTATACACTCCTCAGAATAACGAAGCGTACAAAATCAAAAGGGCAGTATTTGCTAATGGCACTGGTATGTGTTACACATACCAGTGATCTCCTGCAGCAGGAAAGCCCTGACAATATAGTGACTTTGCATACGCCTTCTCTGGCTTCTCTCGTGTGTCAGTAAACCCCAGATAAAAACTCTTGAAAGCAAGAGTGGACAGGAAAGAAGGATGAATAATAATGGAAAAACACAGGGAGGGCGGAAGTGGGAAGAGTGCTGGTATGTCTTGTGGACTGCAATCAATGTATGAATTGTTGAAGGAAAAACCAATTTACTCTGTAAAATTTTAAATCATAATGAATTTTTTTCCCCAAAAATGAAAAGCTCATGTCTCTTCAATGATTACATGTTAGGACAGTTACCATGTAGTTGTAATGCATTTTATCTGTGTTTCTTAAGTTTTCTTAACATAAACACAAAAATGAAAATATTTTTAATTTAGTCAAGGTGGGAAAGCTGTCCTGAGGGAGTCATGTGTCATCACATACAGTAATCTTATGCAGAAGGAAAGCCCTGACAATATGGTGACTTTGCATGTGCCTTCTCCGGCTTCTCTCGTATCAAACCCCAGTGGGATCCTAAATAACTAATGTAGCTCTGGTGGGACGGCCTTTAGCCAGAAAGGAGTTAAGTGACAGAGGATTTGTACAGCAGAGAAACCATATGAATACAGTGAATGTGGCAGTACGTATGCATTTGGTGATGTATAGAATTACATTTTATATTCCACAAAACCCATAGGATAAGCTGTGATACACTAATTGGATAGGAGGACTAAACAAAATGTCTTCCTCATTGTATGACAACAGTGTGTATCCTGAAGGAAATCATATGAATACAGCATCTGGGAAAGCCTGATAAGACTCATCCTGTCTGTATAAACACATTGCTATCAAGAGAAATCTGATTTTACATTTGATGTCCCTTTTGACCCATGTTAACGTACTTTCAGTCTTTGAAAAAGTGAAGAAAAAATACTCTTCCCCTAGACCAGGGATGTGACTGGCTTTGGCTTCCAGTGCAGAGTGCATTGGAAGGTGAATTGTTGCAGATGCAGTTAGGTTAAAATATAACTCTTCATCCTTTGAGCTTCTTTTTGACTCATTTTTATATCATGTAGGTTTTAATATTCCTCTTTTGAGATTGAACTTTATCTTTTAATTGGTTATTGGTGGTGGGGTTTTTTTAAAATCATTTTATTGGGGGCTCATACAAGTGTTATCCCAATCCATACATCGCTTGAATCAGGCATGTTTGTACATAAATTGCATTCATTCTTTTTTAGCCATTTACTTTCTATCAGCTCCTCTTGAAGGGAGACAGTGGTCGGTATGAGATAAAAAAATAATGTACAATCATTCACAGGGTTCTGGGGGGGGGGAGGTGGGAAGAGGAAAAAAAGGTGTTTTTTTAATATACATGTTTCTCTGCATATGAAGTCCATGATGCCTAATAATGGTATTGTGGGATCATATGGGATTTCAATTTCTGTTTATTTAAATAACCCCCTATCGTTTTCCACAATAGCTGTATGTATTTATATGTCCACCAGCAGTATATCCATGTTCCAATCACTCTATATCCTCTCCAGCATTTGTTGTTTTTTGTTTCTTTGATTTGGGCTGGCATTGTGGGAGCAAAGTGGTATCTCATTGTGGTTTTAATTTGCATCTCTGAAGGCTAGTGATCGTGAGCATTTGTTCATGTGTTATTCTTCTGTACATCGTTTTTGGTGATCTGCCATTTTATATCTTTTTCCCAATTCTTGATTGGGTCTCTTGTTATTTTCTACAACATACAGATGTTGTAGAGTTCTGTATATTTTCGTAATTAGCCCTTTGTCCGATGTGTCATTGGTAAAAATTGTTTCCCAATCTGTGGGCTCTCTACTGATACAGTCTTTTGATGTAAGTTATGTAATTTCAGCATTTCCAAATCATCTATCTTGTTTTGCTGAGTGTGCCTCCTCTGTTATATTTGATAGTCTATTTATGTCCTGCAGTTGGGTTGTTCTATGGTGTACAGTGTTGCTTTGGGTCATTGCCAACAAACAGATCTATCTTGGAAGAATTATGACCAGAATGCTCCTTTGAGGAAAGAGTAGCAAGACTTGTCTTACCCGGTTTCCCCGAAAATAAGACAGTGTCTTATTTTAATTTTTGCTCCCATAGATGCGCTAGGTCTTATTTTCAGGGGATATCTTATTTTTCCATGAAGAATATGGTACACATTTATCGTTTTATTAAAAGAGACCTCGCACTTCCTATCTGCTCTGGCTGCACTGTGGCTAACAGTGAGCTGTGCGGCGGCGCCTGCTGCTAGAGTCCAGAGTTATAGTAGCTTCAGGGGGCCTTATTTTCGGGGTGATGCCTTATATTTCAGCGAGAGGCAAAACTAAGTAGGTTTTATTTTGGGGGGATGTCTTTCGGGGAAACACGGTACATATTTTGGATATATTGTGTTGTATGTCTTGAGAAATTAATAACCAGTATAATGCCATTCATGTCCAAATTGGGTGTCTTTCTTCTAGCTGGGGGCCATTGGGAGGATTCAAGTCTCATAAATTCCCCGAGGCCCAAAATGATATTCAGGCTGGGTTTATAAGAACAAAAAACGAAGCTGGTTTGGCAGTCGGAAGGGTATTATATTACTTTCAGTGGGTAGGCAGGGAGGGGTTGATGCCTCAGTGTTCCTTTCAGCAAGTGGTGTACAGAGTGTAAGATAAGCATTAATCTTTTCCTATCTTTGGGAGTTAGGAGGGAATGGGGTAAGCGACAAAACTAACAAGGGTTAGTCTTTTGGGACCTGGGCTGTGCTTCTTTCAAGACTTAGGACATTTTGAGGGACCTTCCTATGGGTGTGTAGACCAAAACTTGGTCTTTTGATTCTGCAGGTGTTAATGGGGTACTTGCTAACTGCAAGTGTTTAACACGAGGCAGGGGAAGGTCTGACTCCTTGGGAAGCGCAGGGTAGACTGCCTTGGGGACTGGCTCCTGCAGGCCTGGGCTAGGCGATACACTACCCTTAGTTTTCAACAAAGGCCCTGAGTGGGAATTTTCTAACATCACCTGCAGTCCTGCCTACTTGGCACACTTTTTTAACCATGCTGGGGGTCCTGAAGAAGACTTATGTAAGGTGGCCAAGAGGCGTCAGAGAACAAATCAGTCGAATTTAAGCAAACCGGCTTTATTAGGGAGAAGAAACCAGCCTTGGCAAAGTCCCACGGTCCAGTTGGGCCCCAGGCTACAGGGGTGGTGCTTCTATAGCCAGGGAACATGTGACTGGGCTACTTTGAGTCCATATAAAGTGAAGTAGTCAGGGATTGGGAGACACAGGTATGTCTGGGTTTCTAGAATGTAAGGTGTCTTTCTGGTTCCAGGTGTATTCGTGCTGGGTGCAGGGCGGGGCCGTGAGCAAAACGGGACATGTGAAAGGTGCAGGTGTAGGGCGGGCTGGGAATAAAATGGGCCATGAGCCAAACGGGCAGGGGGGGGGTGGGGGGACTTGCAAAGTTGCTGATAGGTTACATTAGCCAGCTCTGGTCAGCTCCGCACCTGGGTGGGGGGAGATTCAAGGTCACTCACTGCTAGTTGCTTCAGTCAGCTGTGGTCAGCTCTGCACACGGGTGAGGGGAGGTTCAGAAGTCACTTGCTGTTAGGAGCTGGCCAGCTATTGATCCGGCCAGATATTCCCAACTCTTTGGTAATAGGGGTGATGACTCTTCTGGCTACTTCCTGCGAGTATTGGGG